GGGCACGGTGCTAGGGGGCTGGCGGTGCGGCGGGGACCCTACGGAGGAAGGAACTTTCCCTTCCCTCGGACTTGCGCCCCCCAATGTTGCGCCCGGGCGGCGGCACCCCTGGCAACACTGTGTCGTATTTGCTTTAAATGCATTAGTGTGGCTGTGACCCTACAATCCTTACCAAAACATGGAAAATATGAGCTGACAGATAGGTTAGGCTGTTTAGAGATGGAAACAGCCACCTTGTACCTGCATTTCCAGCAGTAGAAATTCAACTGATAGCATCGCCAAGCACAGATGTCCAGTGATTGATAATGCACCCTCATCTGAAAGTGAGTGCCATTGAACTTACTGCATGGAAATGCATTGGAGGATTGCATTGTAACTCACTGGATTCCTCACAGGGCCGCAGTCCTTTGAGAACTACGTTGATCAGGAAGAATTTTGACAGTTGCCAAATTGTCAGGCTGGAGTAAGAAAGAGCATACATACAATGGCAGAATACAAGACAGTTAAAAATAAAGAAGCACTGACACTGGGTATCTTGTGCTTATGGAGAGGTTAAATAGTATCTTTGGAGACAATAGCATCAACCTTGGACTGCTCTTAGATAAGTGACATTAAGTTCAAAGCAATGAAACGCACTTTCTGCCCATCTCACCTCGAACATTTTGTGCCCTTTTATTTTTTAAAAAAGGCTTTCTAAATCACTCCGTCCAAGTCGCATAATCACAGGAGAATAATGCAAAATGGGCCTTTTTTATGTGATAATGGCAGCCATCAATTGTTTGCTAGAACAGGAGAAATGGTGCCCGTAAAATGAGTTCTTCACAGTTCTCACTGTTCTTAACCAACAAATTGAATAACGGGGCAGCAGACTTATCTTCACACAGATACCCAGGCATAAAATTGCTCTCAGTCATTTCAACAGGATAGGAGAGTTCTCCCTATCCACACACACCCAGTACAGATCTATTAATACTGATAGCAACGAGGCATTTGTCTTTATTGTTGCCAAGAGTCCACTTCCTCTGGAAAGAGGTATATCTGGTGTATAGCTTTTCTCTATGCATTTAGAGAACAGCCATATTTCTCTCAGCGATTTTCTATTAGGCATCGGCTTGTAGCTGGAATGACTTTGTAGTGTTGGTAACCCTGCACAAAAAACCTCTACCAGGGAACTATTGGAACTGAAAATGCTAAATTTTTATGCCTCGTGAAATTTCTTGTTCCCAAGGATCTTTGCGGTGTGTCACCAGTTCTTTTTACACTCAGTAACTTGGATCCAAATGAGCCCCTTGTGCAACGCCGCCAGAAGGCATTTCTGCACACATAAGCAGGGAAGGGGGGGCGTTTGCCGATTTCCTCTCCCATCTCATCCTGCATCATATTCTATTCCAGGACAGTATCCACAAATCCTCAAGAATTGGTCAAGTGTCTTGTGTGAGGTTGTATTGTTGTATATGCTGCATTGTTTTTAACACTTGATTGGATGCCGCCCAGAGTGGCTGGGGAAACTCAGCCAGATGGGCGGGGTATAAATATATGATGATGATGATGATGATGATGATGATGCAGTGGGACAGTGGCAGGAAAGCACCATGGACCAAGCAGGATGCCTTCAGTTCTTTGAATGTAACCTTTTTCTTTCAGAAAGTAATTGACTTTAGGGTCACCAACATGGCACCCACAGTATGTGCCTGTAGCCTGCCAGTACCTCTGGCCCCAGAGAAAGCTCTCAGTAAATATTTTCTCAATGATCCACAATGCAGGAAAGACTCGGTTCCTGTTTGCTTCTCCTGCACACACAACCAGCAGCCATTTTGTGCCGTGCCACACTCCCACAGCAGCCATTTTGTGACTGGCACCCACAATACTTTCTCCACATCCCAGATGTGCGCACTGGCCCCTGGTTTTCCTGCCTCTTTCCTTCCATTTAAATGTGATTCTAAATAAACTATTAGCTTCTAGGGCAGTTGGGCACATTGGAAAGCGCAGGGTTGGTGGGAGTTCAGTCAGCTACTGTCTGAGGTGATTGAGAACGGTGGGAGCCTCCCCCTCCCCCTGACCAGGATCCTGAAGCTGCCCAGGAGCAGTAGATCACTATAGATTTGGAACAGTGGTTTGCAGAGGGACATAGTTCAGAAGATCGAAGTTAGGAAGAACTGAAGGGTGAACAGCAAAGTGAAGAACAGGAAGAGAGCCCTCCCATCAGATGTCAAAGAAATAAACAACTATCTGACGTTTAAAAGACATATGAAGACACCCACTTTTAGGGAAGTTTTTAATGACTGATGTTTTAATGTATTTTTAATCTTTTGTTGGAAGCCGCCCAGAGTGGCTGGGGAAACCCAGCTGGATGGGCAGGGTATAAATGATATATAACAGACTCTCTCTCTCGCTGGAAAGTATTCAGCCTATCAGTCCAAGGTCTCGTATAGCAGATAAGGTGGCGACATATAAAGCAGGTTGCAAGATCAGGTTGCAAGATGGAAGTGACTAGGGGGGAAGTGGGTGGAATCCTTAATTGGGAACACTTTTATTTTGAGTACGGATGTTTTGTTCTTTTGTTGTGATTATTAAAAACCCTTTAAATTGTAAGGAGCTCTGTTCACTTTGTCCTGCTTATCTACAGCCAAAGTGGGGGAGGAAGCAGAGTCCCCAAAGCCTGACACCTACATCTGTATACTAGGACCTGCTAATGTGTGTCATGATGGGCCTGCATCTCGTTTAAGTATTTAGCAATTCCCATGCTGTGAGGGACAAATGACAAATTCTAGTTCTCGTTGTTGTTTTTTTCACAGGAACATAGGTGGTTGCCTCAAAAGTCCACTTAGTCCAGTCCTGCCCACAGCACTCCAGGATTTCAGATTTCCCAACCCCAACTGGAGATACCAGGGAATGAACCCGGGGCCTCTTGCATGAAAAACAGATGACCTATCACTGAGCTACAGCCCTCCCAAAGCCTGTCATGGCCACTACCATCACTGTATACTTTAAGAAGAAATTTGCAAGTGCTTTTGGGGGCACGGGGGAAAGCACTGGCATACATGCATACCATCATCCATAAAAGGAGGTATCAGCTGTCAAGATGTAAAGTTGATTCATTTCCCTTGATAGTCATACAAAATGATGGCACCGTAGGGGCACATGCTAATATGATCTTGGGTCATCCAGCATTGGTGAAAGCATGTCAGTATTATTAATGGTGCTCTGTAATGTGTTTTTAACATCGTACATCACCCTGGGATTTTTTTTATAAAGGGCAGTATAAAAATTGAATTAATAAATAAATTATTATTAATAATAATACACTATCCATCCTTAGGCTCCTGAGGAATAGTACAGTACAGTGGATGCTCGGGTTGCGAACGTGATCCATGCGGGAGGCACATTCACAACCCGCAGTGCCTCTTCTGTGCATGCACGGGTCGCGATTCGGCTCTTCTGCACATATGCAAAGCTTGATTTAGTGCTTCTGTGCATGTGCGAGTGCCGAAACCCGGAGGTAACCCGTTCCGGTACTTCCGGGTTCAGCACGGTGCGCAAGCTGAAAACGCACAACCTGAAGCATCTGTAACCCAAGGTATGACTGTAGTAGGGCTTTCAATATTATTATTTTGGGGCAAATACCTAACCTCTGTAGGATTGCAGGACCCTAGGATGTTGATTCTGGGAGAAGTGGTGGCTTCTGGCAATGGTGATTAGAGATTGGTAATGCTTTTTTTCTGGGGGTACCCAGGGATATGCATACCCCTAAACATTTTGTTAATCTAACGGGAGAAGAAACTAAAAAAACTTTAAAAAATCGTATCTTCTCTAGCAGTGAATCATCAGTTCCTTTGCTACCCCCGATGGCGGCCTCATTTCCTGTCGCTGTGTTTCCTGAGTCTCATATGGAAGCGAGCGTTTAATGTGTGAAGTAGGAGTTGGAATCTAGCATGGTGATTTGTCATTTTCGTTGTTACCTCCTCCGATGGCAGCTTCATTTCCTTTCCCATTGATTTTCTTGAATCAAAATGAGAGTACCCCCAAACATATTTTTTTTTTAAGAAAAAAAAGCACAGGATATTGGGGAAGGAGGGAGGTCGACATGGATCAAGGCATGGAAGTCTGAACTCACGCAGGAAACTTAGGGAGTTAGGACACCATTGTGCTTGATGTAACCTTTATGAGAAAAAAGGAGGGGACCGTTAATAAAGGACATCACCCATGGCACTTTTGTGATTCCCCACCGCTGCCAAAGTTTGAGCAAGATGAGATGGGGTGGTGATTGAGCCTTACTGAGGAAACGTGTACGTGTGTGTGTGCATCATAACACAACCAACGTCCTCAGAGACGGAGCCAAACACCAGCACACCAGAGCCCTATCAATGTGCCTCCAAAGTACTCAGGAATGGCACCTTAGCCCACAGCCACCCTTAAGGTAGGTTAAGATGAGAATGTCTTGCCCAAGGCCACACACTGAGCTTAATGGCTAAACAGGGACTTGAAACTAAGTCTTCCACATTGAAAACCACAGGCATAGGCAAACTCGGCCCTCCAGATGTTTTGGGACTACAACTCCCATCATCCCTGACCACTGGTCCTGTTAGCTAGGGATCATGGGAGTTGTAGTCCCAAACATCTGGATGGCCCAGTTTGCCTATGCCTGCTTTAGCACATTGGTTCTCAGTTGCCCCAGTTCTAATATGTAGCTTTCATCCAGTAATTTCTTTTTCTTTTAGGAATCTTTATTAACCAAGTATTAGATAAGATCTTTACAATCCAATTCGTACATTTCCACCATCTTTGGAACTGCTAAGGGCAAAAAGAGAGAAATGTGACCTGCTACCATTTTAAAGTATGGAGGGAAAGGTCCACTTTCGGGTGACATAGTTACTATACAAACAGATAAATGGCACAGCAACTGCCGTAAAAAGGCCCTACCTTGCTCCCACTGCGTCGCTAGATATTTGTGTGAATGATTTGTTGATATCAAGGGGAAGACAGAATCCAGACACTAACTGTACTCATGCAACTCTGTATGCATTTATTAAGAAGTCAGTTTTTTAAAAAAATTAACCATGAGAGCAGGACAATGGCTTCCATTTCAACAAACTTCCATTATCTGAAAGCTTATCAACTCACTGTATGTTTCCTATGCAACCTAGGGCTGTCTATACTCAGAACTTAAATAATGAAAATCCTATGCCAAGGTAACCCAAATTTTGTATAAAGTACAGCTGCATTCTGTGGCCTGCATAATTTATGCAAATTAAATTTCCATCCCTCTGTTTATTTTGCATACCTCATTCTGCTAGCATTTCATTTACTGCTACTCTGAAAATTCAACACAAAAGTGTCCTAAGTGCTATTTATGAAGAAGGGGAAGGAGTTAGTTAACGCAGAGCACAAAACCCAATTCCCTTACTGCTGGAAATCTCAAATGCCAATGTCTCTCCTTGGTTTCTGAGATTTCAGCAGGAAGAGCCCACAGACTTCCAAGCCTGTCTTTGCAGCCCTGAAGACCAGAAACATGGTAGTTTAACAAAACACGGACTTTCAATTACAGAATATAAACAGCTCCCCCTGCCCAGGTTTTTAGCTATGCAAACTTCTGTAAGTAGAACTCCTGAATATCCAAACATCTGATTATTTACATGTTTGAAAACCAACAACTTGTCCTGTACCTCTTTGTGTGTGCGCAGTTGCAGCCTACCGTACAGGCACTTGCAAATTAGCATGTTCTGTGCGTGGAAGTGACCTCTGCCTCCATACAGAGTTACAGTATTAACGTTCACATCTACAAGGGATTGGATGTGTTTGATCCTATCTCGGCTTAAGCAGAGATCTGCATAAGCCTGTTGCCCACACCTGTAGCCCATTTGCGCAGCAAAGCATGGAGCTTCTATTGAACCACAGTCACCCGTTTCATCCAAACCAGGAAACTATGGCTACCAGCTTTGGAACAACTCAAGATCTCAAGCCATGCTGTGGCTGAAGATCCTGGCTTGCTCATAGGAAGGAAACTTTGGCTAACTAAAGACTTTCTGGGTGATTTGTGGCTTGCGCATGCTCCAAGAAAAGGCTTGTGTGTTTCTCCGCTTCATAAACCAAGATAGGATCATCCAAAACAGGCTATTGTCTCTTGCCAGCGTTTATTTGCAGTCAAACCTGCAGTGTGGCAATTATAAATATCTAGGTACCAGCTAGGATTTATTTTTGGAAACTGCACTGTTGCTTGCGAATAAACATTTACATAGTTCTAGTTACATAGTCAGCCTGAACGCTAACTACCGAAGAAACTACTTTACAAAGACCTCTTTAAAATGCATAATTGCAAAACAGACATTTGATTCCCCTTCGCTGGAAGCGTGGATGTTAAGCCCAGTCAACTTTTCAAGTCGAAATCTGCTTCATTGGCGAGAGCTTTGGCGAAACCTAGTGATGAAAGAAAAGAAAAATCAACAGACGAATAATGCAGCTTGGTGCCATATGCAGTATACCTTCTAGCTGAGCATCTAGAGTGTATTTTGGAGAGATATGACCCTCTCCATTTTGCCTTTCAGCTTCCTTTTTAATCATTCCCCTCCTTTTTGGAAGTTTCTTCCTTCAAAATCAAAATGTGACCATGCTGGATTTTCTTGGCAATTATCCATTTATATAGATGCTGAATTTGACAGCGCCATGATCCCTGTTCCCAATGAGATCTCAGAGTATTAAGGGCAGGAATGGTGGATATGTTATTTCCAGATGTTGCTGGACAACTGCCCAAGTCCTTCAGCAACAACTATGCAGAAACCAAGGAGAGACCATGCCGGGTGAAGTTGATGGAAACTGAAGGCCATCAAGATCTGGACTGAGATGGTTCCCTGTCTCCTGATTAATACCATACATCACTTATGTCTACCAGAATACTCATGTAATGATTTACAGGAGAAATCCATGCAAACTTTGTGGTCTCACAGTGAGCTCAGGATTGGACAACATGACATCCTATGTCTACAGAGAACACACACACAGAAGATCACAGGTTCAAGCCCCGGTGTCTCCAAGCTGAGGGAGACCCCTGCACCTGAAATCCAGGAAAGCTGTTGCCAGCCAGCGTAAAAAAGGTAAAGGTAAAGGACCCTTGGATGGTTAAGTCCAGTCAAAGGTGACTATGAGGTGCGGCACTCATCTCGCTTTCAGGCCGAGGGAGCCGGCGTTTGTCCACAGACAGCTTTCCAAGTCATGTGGCCAGCATGACTAAACTGCTTCTGGCACAAAGGAACACAGTGAGGGAAGCCAGAGCGCATGGAAACGCCATTTATCTTCCCGCTGCAGCGGTACCTATTTATCTACTTGCACTGGCGTGCTTTCAAACTGCTAGGTTGGCAGGAGCTGGGACAGAGCAACAGGAACTCACCCCGTCACAGAGATTCAAACCACTGACCTTCTGATCAGCAAGTCCAAGAGGCTCAGTGGTTTAGACCACAGCGCCACCTGCGTGCTAGTTGGACCATTTTTCTGACTAGGTATAAGGCATCTTCCTAGGTTCCGTCCTGCCCCTTTTGATTTGTATCAGGGGTGAGAAAGATTTTTCTTTTTTTTACAGATTCAGTTTCCATTTGCCATTTTGCCCCAACATCAATGTAGCCATGTCAAATGCCATTTCCAACTCTCTGAAATAATCATCTTTTCTGTCTCCTACTATGGCTGATCTATGAACCACAGGTGCGCTAATGTCAGATGATCGATGCTAGCAATTGCAAAGAAGAATGTGATGATTACATGAGAAAGAGAACAGCTGGAGGAACTAAGGATTTTACTGCACACACCAAACTTCTCCATCTATGTTCTGGAAGCCAGTGTATTTGGCCTTGCAGTGCAGTCCTATACACCTACTTGGGAGTAAGCCCCACTGAGGTTAATGGGGATTGCTCCCACAAAGTGAGTATAGGCCTGCAGCCTTAATGGTTTTTTGTGTCCCCTGACAGAGAACCAAGCTTCCACGGGAAGATAAAGCAGTTGAATCTTGCTGTTTGTGGACTTGCTTGCTTTAAAAACAAACAAAACATATCCGATTTATCCAGGTACAGCTTTCCATTCCGCTTGATTTTTTCCCCCATGGTGGCGTTGTAATTCAGATGATAAATTTGACACGTACAAATGAAAATCGTCCTGGTGGGACAATCTGTCTTGAAGCCAAGCTGTAGCAGATCTGATTTAAGGGCACAGGGAAAGTCAAAGTTTTGTCTTTGGGGCCCAACAAAATCCCGAGCGGACTGCTTATAATATCAGCTTCATAAAAAAGACAGGAGGCTGTAAATCACTCCTCCCTTGTTATGAGGCTGCTGTGCATGCTGCCTAGAGGATGCTCTTTCTAATAAAGCTGTGGAAATCAGAAAGTTCAGTCACAGCCTTCCAAAGAAGTCACAGTGCTGCTGCGTGGTTTCTCTTCTTTTGAGGGGAGCCATTTTGGTGCAAAATGTACAGGCCCTGCTTCAAACAAGACATATAAATTAAGTTCCACAGGGTTCTGGCAGTAAGATAAGTTTCCAGGACTTCCCTGAGGCTTCTCTCTTTGAAGCAGTCCCTGAAGTGAGCAAATTGCTGGTTGGGAACCGAACGCTCCCAGCTTAAAGCAAGATATTCACTTCATTCCACTTTCAATCAATGCGTGAATACAGATACACACAGAGCAGGCCTGAAGCAAAGCAGAAGATGGTGTCTCCTCCATTCAATGTACAGCAGGAGTAGGAAAGTAAATGTAGCTCAGGAGCTAAATGTGGTACCCACTCTGAACTTTCCCCAGGCCACAGTCCTCACTGGAACTGATTTTGCATCCTGGGTGTTTTTGGCTGGACGGAACACGTCCTCAAATTCCGTCCACTCATGCAAGAATCAGTCGGGATATGTGAGTGTATGAAGAAACTAAGAAAGGTAAAAATTACACTCAGTGCTCCACCCACTTTCAATTCTCTGTTCAGATCTATGGGACATACGGGACCGCCTCTCCCGGTATGCCCCACGGAGAGCCTCAAGGTCCATAAATAGCAACACCCTAGTGGTCCCGGGCCCTAAGGAAGTTAGATTAGCTTCAACCAGAGCCAGGGCCTTTTCAACACTGGCTCCAGCCTGGTGGAATGCTCTGCCTCATGAGACCAGGGCCCTGCAGGATCTGATTTCTTTCCGCAGGGCCTGTAAGACAGAGTTGTTCCGCCTGGCCTTTGGCTTGGAGCCAATTTGATTCCCTCTCCCTCTTTCTTTTTCCTTTCTCCTCCTTTAATGAGGCTGCATTTTAATATTTTAATGTTTCAATATTTTAATTGTTGTATTTTAATCTTGTTTTTAAGATGTATTCATTCAATTTGTTTTTATTATTGCTTGTTAGCCGCCCTGAGCCCGGCCTTGGCTGGGGAGGGCAGGGTATAAATAAAAATTATTATTATTATTATTATTATTATTATTATAGAAATAAAATCCTACCAAACAAATGGAACCTGGTGTGTGTGTGTGTGTGTGTGTGTGCGTGTGTGTGTGTGTGTGTGTGTGTGAACCTTTTTTCATACTTCCCTCCCCAAAAGCACCAGAAACCTCTCCAGAACAAACTCCTGCAGCAGTCTTTTGCACCTGCAGCATGGACAAGCCGCGTAAATAAACCTTCATTTGGGCTGATCTTTGCTTCCTTAGCAAGCTCCCTCAGAGCAAAGAAACGCAACTGCAATGTTAGCCACACAATGACTTACTGTGAACTCAGCCCCAGTGCTTTTCTTGATGTCATCCACGGACAGCCCTTCCCAGATTTCAATCAGCGTCAGTCCCTTTTTCTTGTCGACATCAAACACAGCCTGCAGGTTTGGAAAGAAATGCAAATTGTTTCGGTCTAAGAAAAGGAAAGGAAGGGGGCCTTACTAGCTGAATGAAGCCAATGCTTCGAGTTGATAAATACCAATTCCCTCCACCTTAGCACTGATTTTCGGGAGCACTTTTGGCTGGATGGGGTTATAAATGCCTTAAATAAAATGAAGTAAGGACTTAAGATTGCCATGCAAACTGTAGTATTTGGGAAATATGGCTTGACTGCTGCACGGTTACAAGAGCTAATAGCGTGTGAGAGACATCTGCATCTTCTTCCTGAGCCAGGTTTGCAACATCCCTTCTCATCAAGGGAGCCGGGATATTAAAATCCAAGAGTTAGTCATGGGCAACTCAAACCCTCATTACAGGATTATCGAGAAGATAAAAATGCCCCTCCCAAGCCGCTCAGCAAAAAAGATGGATCAGAAATGCAACGAACGTAAGATAACCTACCTTTTCTGTTATGATGCGGTTCACACACTGTTTTCCCGTAATTGGCAAAGTGCATTTTTCCAAAATCTTGTGGGCGTTGCCCTACAGTGAATACACACACACACACACACACACACACACACATACAAATGAATGATCAGCTTGTCGGAGAAAACCGGTTGCTTGAAATTCAAAAGGACTTGCAGTCAGTAAATTCAGATTGAGACAAATATATGCTACCACCAGCTCAGAAGCTTCCACTGTGTTTGGACCTGTTGTGGAAGGCTTACGAATTCATTGCTGAAATATTCCGAGGTCCTTAGTGACATGGGTAACGATGACTTACTCAAGAAGGCATACACAACAGGACTGGCATACACTCAAGTGAATCGTGTGCCGAAAAGTTCACCTGGAGCCTTCATTATACATCTTTATATTCCTCTTCAACCAGTTTGCAACATCCTTATCCTTTCAAATGTGTTTGTGGAAGGGGGTGGGAGTTATTGGTTTGTTTTGCTTTTGTTCTTGTTTTCCGTATGCATTTTGTGTTTTTGTCTTGTATTTTTATGCTGTGAACTGCCATGAGATCTATGGATGAAGGTTGGGGTGCAAATTTTATAGATAAAAATAGCAATACGATAATAACGTCTGCACTCCCTGTTCCTGCTCACTTCCAGGACACCATGAAACACAGACATAGGAACCACATGGGTTCAGCAGATCACTGAATCAAAGAGTTATAGAGTTGGAAGGGACCCAGAGAGTCATCTAGTCCAACCCCCAGCAATGCAAGAATCACAGCTAGACCACATAGCTCCTTTCCATGCTTGTGATGTCCCTTCTCAGGGGAGGGAGCAGACAGCAACATTGGTGTTAAAAGGAATCATGTTGGCTGCCTGGCCAGAAATTATTGGTGCATTCTGGGATTCACCACACAGAAGCAGGTTCTAATACTATCAGTATATTTCTAAAATAACTCTGTTAATGCCGCTTCACTTTATGAGTAAAAACAGCATTTCCCCCAGTAATAATAATAATAATAATAATAATAATAATAATAATAATAATAATTATTATTATTTATTTATACCCTGCCCATCTGGCTGGGCTTCCCCAACCACTCTGGGCGGCTTCCAAAAAAAATATTAAAATACTGTAATACATCAAACATTAAAAGCTTCCCTAAACAGGGCTGCCTTCAGATGTCTTCTAAAAGTCTGGTAGTTGTTGTTCTCTTTGACATCTGGTGGGAGGGCGCCACTACCGAGAAGGCCCTCTGCCTGGTTCCCTGTAACTTGGCTTCTCGCAGTGAGGAAACCGCCAGAAGGCCCTCGGTGCTGGACCTCAGTGTCCGGGTAGAACGGCGGGGGTGGAAACGCTCCTTCAGATATACTGGACCGAGGCCATTTAGGGCTTTAAAGGTCAGCACCAACACTTTGAATTGTGCCCAGAAATTGTGCCCCAGGAATATTGAAGTTTCCTTGTAGCATTGCCTAGAACGATACACAGCTATTCTCTACTCATATTTTGTGATGACAATCTTAAAAATTGTCCCAATATACTGTTGCAATGGTATGTCCTCCTTTATATGCAGGGACAGGCAAAGCTGTAAAGGACAGGAGCATCGGGGATTATCTTAAAATCTTTCCTACTCTTGCTCTGTTGTTCTCTTATGATTGGCACATAAAAAACCAAAAAAACTGTTGCCTATAATGTTTTTTGCAAAATCGAGCCCTCTCTCCAACTCCTTGAAGGTTGCCCTAATTGCAAAATTGCAAAAAAAGGGACAATTGCATTGTCCCTTTTACGAATTTTACAGTGGTGTCGACTCTGCCTACCAAAATGGGTTTTTAATTTATTCTCCCCCCTCCCCACTTTATGTCAAGGAACAATTGCTTCACTCCAATTCCTACCAGTTAACATCTGTTTCTGCATTCAAGGCAGCTAGCCCCCCCTGAGTGAAACTGACAGGTATTTAAGGGGAAATGACAATGCTTAATTCAAGGACCTTCCAAGTTCTGTTCCCGGCAAAGGAACAATTCATCTGTGCTATTTTTATAGAAAAGTGTTCATCAACCCATCAGGTATACCTTTAAGGTCATGCAATATCTCCTTCTAAGCATCCCAGGGAGATTGAAATGCTCAGGCTTGAGGAAAGAAGACTGCTTTCCAGGCAGCCGCTGTGACCCCAAGCATTGCAGAATGCTGCAGTTAAATATGATCTTGCTTAACTGCAGTTAAATATGATCTTACTGTCACTGGTTAAAACCTTTCTGAAGCCGCATCTACGGGGGGGGGGGGGGGGAACCACCAGAATGGGAATAGAAGAACAGAGATATTGGCCAAGGCCTAGCCTTTGTAACATAGACCTATCAAATCTCCCCACAAGCAATTAATAAGGGAAGACTCATGCTTAGCCCAAAGGTTGAAGGTCAAGGGTCAAAGCATTATTATTTCTAAAATGTGTATTACACAGTCCCATTCTGCAGCATATTCCCATTGGTCTATTTGCACAAACACCAACACACCCCTCAACTGTGAAGCATAAAAGGTAAAGGTAAAGGTAAAGGGACCCCTGACCATTAGGTCCAGTCGTGGCCGACTCTGGGGTTGCAGTGCTCATCTCGCTTTATTGGCCGAGGGAGCCGGCGTACAGCTTCTGGGCCATGTAGCCAGCATGACTAAGCCGCTTCTGGTGAACCAGAGCAGCGCACGGAAATGCTGTTTTCCTTCCCGCCGGAGTGGTACCTATTTATCTACTTGCACTTTGCCGTGCTTTCGAACTGCTAGGTTGGCAGGAGCAGGGACCAAGCAACGGGAGCTCACCCCGTTGCCAGGATTCGAACCACCGACCTTCTGATCGGCAAGCCCTAGGCTCTGTGGTTTAACCCACAGCGCTACCTGCGTCCCTGTGAAGAATACCATACTCTAAATCACGTCTATCTATTTTGGGGGTGGGGTGGTTTTAACTTAAGCCTGTCCCAAAATGGCTCCCTTCTCTCCTCACCCACCTTCAGGACAATATTTAGTAATTTTCCAGGGATTGGTTTGGGGGTGGGGGTAGATTAAAGAGCGTAAAGCCTACCAGTGCCCATTTTATTTCTGACATTTCCCCCTATGAATCGACATTACACCACCATTAACACATTCCAAGAGAGCTCACTCATGGGGAAGGGAGGAATGGCGGCTGCAGACAGTAGCTAGGAGGCTGGAGACTGGGAAGAAGCATATGGATTGCTTATGGTGGCAAGTGAAGAAGCAGCAAAATTGGGAAACCCAGCCAGATGGATGGGGCATAAATAATAAAAATTATTATTATTATTATGACTTTAGAAGGTTTCAGAAATGTGGTCAGGAAGGCAAGCTTGTGTGTTGTTGTTTTTGTTGTTTTAAGATACAAGGGAATTAGTGAGATGAAGAAAGAGGACATCTATTCCAGGATAAAAACAGCACAGCAGAGGTGTGGGGAACTTTACCTGTCCAGATGTGGCTGAACTACAACTCCCATTAATCCCAGCAAGCATGGTCAATGGCCAGGGGTGGTGGTAGTTATAGTTCAGCAATATCTGGAGGGTCATAGGGCCCCCACACCTGGCAAAGTGTTAAACACAGAGACAGGAGTTTGCGAGAAAGCAGGCAATGGACAACCTCATACAGAAACAATGGGCCACATTTAATGCCGCTGTTCACTAGGATGGCAGAAATCTGGCAGATCCACACCACACATTGGTGTTCAACAAACGTTTAAAGCACATGATCTCCCCAAGAGAATCCTGGGATCTGTAGTTTCCCACTTAAAGAGCTACGGTTTCTAGCACCCTTAACAAACTACATTTCCCATGATTCCTTGTGGGGAGTCAGAAGAACACGAGAAGAGCCTGTTGGATCAGGCCAGTGACCCATCTAGACCAGCATCCTGTTCTCATAATGACCAGTCAGATGCCTATGGGGATCCTGCAGGCAGGACCAGAGCACAAGGCCAGCCTCCCCTCCTGTGGCTTCTAGCAATTGCTATTCAGAAGCAATTGCTGCCTCTTGACTGTAAAAGGTAAAGGTAAAGGACCCCGGACGGTTAAGTCCCGTCAAAGGCTATGGGGTTGCAGCGCTCATCTTGCTTTCAGGCCGAGGGAGCCGGCATTTGTCCACAGACAGTTTTCCAGGTCATGTGGCCAGCATGACTAAACCGCTACTGGCGCACAGAGGACCGTGACGAGTGCCAGAGCGCACAGAAATGCCATTTACCATCCTGTCACAGTGGTACCTATTTATCTACTTGCACTGGCATGCTTTCGAACTGCTAGGTTGGCAGGAGCTGGGACAGAGCAACGGGAGCTCACCCCGCCACGGGAATTCGAACCGCCGACCTTCCGATCAGCAAGCCCAAGAGGCTCGGTGGTTTAGACCACAGAGCCACCCGTGTCCCTTTTGACCGTAGAGGCAGAGCACAGCCATCATGGATAGCAGCCACGTGCTTTTAAATCTGCTCTTCCACTCATGCAGCAAAACTTTCTCCTCCTCTCCACAACCCGTGCACCCTGAAAACCTGCTCCAGAAAGCTGGAGGAAAACAAGAGAGGAAGAAGCCCAATGGGTGGCTGGAACTCTGTGCACACAGAGTGCACAGAATTGGACAGAACCCAGGGTATGTTTCCAAGTCTAAGGAGAAATCCACAGAAGAGAGTATTTATGAAAAGATTACCTTTGCAGAGTGCTCCATAGTGACGACCACTTTAGTTCTTGAGCTGGACACCAAGTCCATGGCGCCTCCCATGCCTTTCACCATCTTACCCTAAAAACACAAGATTTCACACAAAAAGTAAAAGAAGAACAGGTGTCAACAGCACAGCTCAGTACACTCTTTGCTTTGATGCATTTAATCTACAGATTTTGGAAAACAAGCATCAGACCCGCACAAAATGCAAAATTAACCCAAGGTCCCTTTAGTTTCTCTCTGAATAACTGATTCTTCATAACATCTCCAAGTCTCTACATATCACAAGGATACCATTTTGAGAGTGTTCCCATATTATTTATGGGGAAAGAAGATTGATGGGGGAAAACGAGGAACTGCATCTTGTCTCTAAATATCTATAATTCTTCAGCACACATGGGTTGTGTGACCAAAAGTTTTGGATTATATTGCTAGGCCATTGAAAGGCTCAATTTAGTTGCAAACCTGATAGCAACCACTTAGCGTGCATGGTTGTTTGGGAAATGCAGTCATTTCAAAATGGCAAACTCGAATTTAATTTAATCCACTTTATTTCCCAGGATCCTTCAGGAGGAAGGACTGAGTGCTTTCCCAACATGGAGGTGACAATCCCACACATTCACTTGAAGGGTAATTCCCATTTGTTTTATGTGAAGCAGAAGACTGCCAAGCAAGCGCTGCTGCCGAAAGCCTCGTGTGACTGCCTTGACGTATCTAAACAGCTGATCCTTTGGATTGGCCCAATTGTGTGAAAGTTCGGCAGGGACAGGATCAGCATTGGTCCATCAAGCTCAGTACTGTCTAACCTGCCTGGCAGCAGCTCTCCAAAGTTTGTGGTAGGGATCTCTCCCAGCCCTCCCTAGAGATACCAGGGACTGAACCTTGTTCATGCAAGTAGATGCACTACCATTGAGCCAAGACCCTTACCTAACGAACAGGTACACACCCAAATAAACCTGTTTAGAACTGAGGCAGCAGCTAACCAGAGCTGGCTCTGCATTGTATAAGCCAGAGGTTTTCAACCTTTTTGAGTCCACGGCTCCCTTGACCAACTACATTCTTTCTGCAGCATCCCTGTAGAGCTCAAGAGCCCAATTATGTCACCCCTTGTCTGCAGAGCTGGCAGCCTCTTGTTTGTTGTTGTTGTTTAGTCGTGTCCGACTCTTCGTGACCCCATGGACCAGAGCACACCAGGCACTCCTGTCTTCCACTGCCTCCCGCAGTTTGGTCAAACTCATGCTGGTAGCTTCAAGAACACTCTCCAACCATATCGTCCTTTGTCGTCCCCTTCTCCTTGTGCCCGCCATCTTTCCCAACATCAGGGTCTTTTCCAGGGAGTATTCTCTTCTCATGAGGTGGCCAAAGTATTGGAGCCTCAGCTTCACAATCTGTCCTTCCAGTGAGCACTCAGGGCTGATTTCCTTGAGAATGGAGAGGTTTGATCTTCTTGCAGTCCATGGGACTCTTCGTGATCCCATGGACCAGAGCATGCCAGGCACTCCTGTCTTCCACTGCCTCCCACAGTTTGGTCAAACTCATGCTGGTAGCTTCGAGAACACTGTCCAACCATCTTGTCCTCTGTCGACCCTCTTACCAGCCTCTTACCCTTCTTCAAACACCCTCCCTTGTGGAGAGTTCTTTCAGCCTCCTCTCCCCTCTCCTTGGAAGTCCTCTGGGCAACTGCAACTGCAGCCCCTGGTCTCTGAGCTGCCCCACTGCCCCACAGGGACTTGGGAAGCACCCCCTGGCCAGCCCCAGAGGCACCATTTGCCTGTGGAGTTTGTAGCCAGAGCTGCTGCAATAAACAGCTGTGCAAGCCTTTGGGAGGCAGAGACGCAAGAGAGCATCAGAGGAAGGAGAGAAGGAAGGAAAGAGGGACAGAGGCCAGTGTTGCCCGCGGCACCCCTGACAATCAATCAAGGCACCCCAGGGAGCCACAGTACACAGGTTGAAAACCACTTGGGTAAGGTGTTAAAGTGAGATTCTACTCATACTCTCCTTCCGTGGAAGAAATTGCAAAGATTTAAAAATAGCAGCACAAAAACAAGTGTTCGGCAATATGTTATTTTTTGCAGTTTTAGAAATCATTGAAAGTCATGGAGAAGCTAACCATAAGGACGCCTTGAACAAAATTTCCTTCTTCCCCAAGTCAGTATGCTTGAAATATATATATATTTGTATTGTATGTAAAGTACTGTGTGTAAAATGTAGACAATATTAATATCCACTACCTGCTACCGCAGCTTGAGTTATTTTTTAAAAACAAAAACAAAAGCAATCCCCCTTGTGCTTGAGTACTTTGTATTCCCATTTCCTCAATAAAAAAGTACATGACTGGAAAGAACCAAAGACGAATTGCCCTGAAATATATTTGCTGTGTCATTTTCCCCCCAAGTGACTACCAGCCTCAGAATGGTACAATTACAGAACTATTGTCATCATATTGCTATCTCCGACAGATAGATTAGATCTGGAGGAATGCAGAGGAGGAAAGAAGAGCCCAATGAACTTTACCAAGAAATGCAAGGAAATTACTATGCTGACATCCCTCCCCCCCCCCCCGGCAGTACAAGGAATAAAAGCATAAAGCTGGTTCAAAAATCCTTCAAGTGCAATGCAGAAAGATATACAAACGCCAAGCTGAGCACATGCACGCTTAAAGCTTCCGAAAGATGGGTATATACCAGGGGTCTGCAACCTTTAGGACAAAAAGAGCGACTTGGACCTGTTTCCGAAGAAAAAACAACAACTGGGAGCCGCAAAATCATTGCGACATTTAAAACAAATATATCTCCAGAGCCGCGATCTGACAGCGGGCGGGAAGGTGACGTCGGGACGGTGCGTGACTAACGCACGCACCGCCCCATGCGACGTCACAGCCAGTACAGCGCCCGCCACAGTGAAGAGTGTCGGGGCGCACAATGCGCCTCCTCCCCTCGCTAGTATCCGCCCTGGAGCCGCGGCAAAGATGTAAAAGAGCCACATGCGGCTCCGGAGCCGCGGGTTGCAGACCCCTGGTATATACCGTATTTTTCGCTCCATAAGATGCACCTGACCATAAAACGCACCTAGTTTTTAAGGGGGGGATGCAAGAAAAAAAATTCTTTAAAGGGAGCGCTGAGCAGAGCCTCCCGCCTGCATTCGCTCCATAAGACGCACACACATTTCCCCTTACTTTTTAGGAGGGAAAAAGTGCGTCTTATGGAGCGAAAAATACGGTATCCTATATTCACAATGTGACACTTCCCTCCCTTTGTCGCAGTGCTGTCTGATAAATCCTGCTTCTGAACCAACCGTTATTTACAGAGACAAACATATAAGGTTCATGCCATTTGCCACTCTTGACATACACCACAGACCCCAGAACTGACTCAAAATTGTGCCCATGAAAATGGCAGGCTCGCTCGGACCTTTCTGCCACCCACGTTCCCATGGGCAAAGAGGCAAGCCACAGCCCGGTCTTAAAAAGGCTTCCTTTAGAAGAAATTATCTGCTGGATCAGTGGGGAAACCTCAAATGATCCATGGGGGGGGGGTCACCTTTGGATGCATGCAGCTTATACTTCCATGATAGCTCAGTTGGTGGAGCGTGAGACCTAGGACATCCCCAACAGAGCCAGGCTCTGCTTGAAGACCTCCCCATTACGGAGTGTAGAACATTTATTTATTTTCTAGTTATTAAATGTATACGCCGCTCTTCATCCAAGGATCACAGAGCAGTTTGCAGTATAGAACCACACAAATGCATAACGTAATAGCAAACAAAACAGTAATGTCTCCCCCCTCCAAAACACACACAGAGAGAGCGAGAGGGCGCATCCCTTCTAGGTAATTGGTTCCACTGCGGAATTGCTCTTTCTTTCACGCCAATTTGGGAAATTAATTCCTCCTTAAAGCTTCATAGTCCAGTAGGAGAGCTGAAAATAATGCCAATATATTTCACATCTGGCAAACCATGCGCCCCTTGGGCTTCAGATAGTACATAGGGAGACAAATCTAACAAGCCCGGGACACAAATTTTCACGGCCCTCTGCTGGCCCATTTACCAGAAGCAATGTATTTAGCGTTAGATCTGGAAGTGTATACTAGATTCTGACCAAACTAAGGCTCATAGAGCAAAATATACATAGGCGGCCTAGTTTGGTCAATGGGTATAACCCGAATAATCTAAATACATCACTTCTGGTAAATGAGCCACCATAGCTGCTAGAGGGCTGTGGAAATTTGGGTCCTGGGCTTTTTAGACTCTTCCCCCCATGTACTACATGAAACCAAAGGGGCGCATTGGTTGGCAGATGCGAAATTCTTTTCAGCTCTCCTACCCCCTATTTAGGGTCTTGGCTTACACTGACCTCTAAAGATACAGTGGTGCCTCGTAAGACGAAAATAATCCGTTCCGCGAGTCTCTTCGTCTTGCGGTTTTTTCGTCTTGCGAAGCAAGCCCATTAGCGGCTTAGCGCTATTAGCGGCTTAGCGGGCTTAGCGGATCAGCTGATAAGCGGCTTAGCGGATCAGCTGTTAAGCGGCTTAGCGGATCAGCTGATAAGCGGCTTAGCGATCCGCTGTTAAGCGGCTTAGCGGATCAGCTGTTAAGCGGCTTAGCGGATCAGCTGATAAGCGGCTTAGCGGCTTGGGAAAAAGGGGGGGGGAGGAAAAAAAACCTGCAGGAACTCGCAAGACATTTTCGTCTTGCGAAGCAAGCCCATAAAGCATCAATTCTTCGGCGATCAGCCTTCTTTATGGTCCAGCTCTCACTTCCATACGTCACTACTGGGAAAACCATAGCTTTAACTATACGGACCTTTGTTGGCAAGGTGATGTCTCTGCTTTTTAAGATGCTGTCTAGGTTTGTCATTGTAAGTTAGTCTACCATTTCTGAAGCGGAAGAGTCACGATGAGGTGACTTTCCCCCCACCCTGCAATATTTACTGCCCCATGGGGTTGCTGTGGAGATAAAAAGGAAAGCAACTTTAAGGCCCTTTGCCAACAAGCACTACAAAGAAGCATTCAAGGAGGCTAGAAATGGCTCTGCCTGATTCCTTGGGGTGCCTGCCGCCATGGTAGGTAGCCTCGTCATAAGGCATCTTCAGTAATATGGTTTTGCCCAGGAAAAGCAGCTGCCAGGAGCAGGCATTTCGCAAGAACCCCTTTCTGAATACAAGGAGAGCTGATAAAAGTTGGCAGAAAGTTTGAAGCGTTTGCATGCCGACTGTAGAACTTTCCCCAAATTTATTCTTCAGGATTCATCAACAGTTAGCCTCAGGGCATCTGTCACCGGTTCAGTGGTTTATTTGCTGTTGCATCAGATCAGCACCACCAGTATTTATGGTATTAATATTAATAAATCCCAAGGAGACCTCATCCATCACTTTTCATCTCTCCTCCAACTCCTACCCCATTGCTCTTAAAGTGTGATCTTCAATGGCTCAGGGCTATTTTACCAATATAAAAGCATCATTAGTCAAAGAAACTACAGCCTCATATTCAACATTTCTGTCGGGGGGGGGGGGAGTTCCACCCAGAAGAGCAACATAATTCATCGCAAAATGTACTTCTTGATGCAGCCGTTCCAGAGAAATCATCACAAAAGAACCAGTTTAAAATTGTGCTTTGTGTTTGCTTTTTTTACAAGATAGAACCAGCTAAAACCCAAAAAATTAATCCACAGTAATTAGTGCTTCAAATACTATTAAGGAAAAATTGCTAGTGAACGTCAAGTCTTTTCAAAATGGACATACTACGGGGTTGGCAACACCTCCTGCAAATCGTAAAAATGATGAGTTGTGCATGTTTTACGTCAGAACGTATTGTTTTCCTCCTATTTCAAATGAAGGTGTATCTCATCTGAAAAGAGAGCTCCTTCAGATGGGCTCAATTATAGGGAAGCAGAGTTTTGACTATTCTCTTTCAAATGGAAGCTCCTGGTGCTGCTGTGTTGCAAAATGGTTTGGTCTTTCAAATCTGGAGGGTGAGGGTATAGGGGTAGGCTGGGGTCCCCCCCCAATATTTCAAAAATAATAGCCCCACTGTTCACATGGAGCTTAGCAGAGTATGAAAAGAATAATTTCATTCAAACCTACATGCTTAGTCAGAAGTAAACATCACTGAGTTCAATGGGACATATGTAGGACTCCAGCCCAAGGCAAACTTTCTTTTAAGAAACTAGACTATGGTGAGGATCTTAAACACTAACAGCAGGTTTATAGCAGGAGGAAATTGTGGCCATTCAGATCTTGCTGGACTCCAAGTCTAATCATCTCTGACCACTGGCCATGCTTGCTGGGGCTAATAGGAGTTGGACTCCCAACAAATATCTGAGCACATTCAAAGGATAGGTTAACTCTTAAGAAGCCATTGCTCTTTCGGATTCCAAGCAAAGCAAAGAGGGCCTAAATATTATGTTACATTCATCTTTCGTTGGTCAAGCCTCAAGAGAGAACCAGACTATTTTTTCCAGGATCCCTAAATTGGTGTCAGGCGAGGCTGCATGAAAAGGCTTAACTGCTGAGAGTGAAATATCACAAGTTGCAAGTTCTCAGTGGGAGGTGAACAGACTCTGAACTACACTAAGAAAAGGAAATCCTTGCAATAAGAAAAAAACAGTTTTTTAAACAGCCCATATTATGGTGATGATGATGATGGTGACTACATTACATGTGTGTTTACTTCTGGAAATTGATTTAATTCATTCTGTCGCCTACATTTTAGGCTTTTGCCAATTTCTCTATGGACAGCTGGATTCCTTGCTGAAAAAGCCAACGTGCCTAGGAATGACTAGATTACAAAGTGGAGAACCAAATATGTTTAGGGAAGGGCTGTGGCTCAATGGTGAAGCATCTGCCTTGCGTGCAAAGGGTCTCAGGTTTGATCCCCAGCCCCTCCAGGTAAGGCCATCTGAAATCAGGAAGAACTACTGCCAGTCATTTTAGACAATACTGAGCTAAATGGGCCAGTTATAAGGCAGCTTCCAAAGCTCAATTGGTAGGCGAAGATTACTAGCCCGTTCTCTACTTTGATTACACATAACATGTTTTGTTAGGAGGAGTTGTGAGTGCCCACCCTGCTCTTGCGAGAACTTATGAACTGAGCTGGAATTTTTTACATGTAAAAAAAAGAAGAAGTTCTTCAATTACAGAACAAACAGAAAGCATTGGGATCACTGCGTGCATCCAAAAGGAGTCATTTTTACTACTGTTGAGAACACATCATTTCAGTGAAATGAAAAGACGCTTCTAATCACTTCGAATAAAATGCATGATGCAAATATATAATAAGGACCCTTCTCCATCTACTTACAGGAATCATCCAGTTGGCTAGATCACCATATTTAGACACCTGCATCGCTCCAAGCATTGTCAGATTAACATGTCCCCTGTTAAAAGGAACAAAGAAAGAAACGAGCACGCTTTTGGCATCAGAAATTCTGGCACAATTTTTGTTTGTTCCATCTACAAGCCCTCTAACCATTCCTGAACAGTAAAAAGGTAAAGGGACCCCTGACCCTATACCAGGGTCCAGTCGTGGCCGACTCCGGGGTTGCGGCGCTTATCTCGCTTTACTGGCCGAGGGAGCCAGCGTACAGCTTCCGGGTCATGTGGCCAGCATGACTAAGCCGCTTCTGGCGAACCAGAACAGCACACAGAAACGCCATTTACCTTCCCGCCGGAGCGGTACCTATTTATCTACTTGCACTTTGACATGCTTTCGAACTGCTAGGTTGGCAGGAGCAGTGACCAAGCAACGGGAGCTCACCCCATTGCAGGGATTTGAACTGCAGACCTTCTGATCAGCAAGTCCTAGGCTCTGTGGCCTACCCACAGTGCCACCCGCGTCTCAACAGTACCTCTCTATAAAAGTACTCTCTATATACAGTACCTGAACAGTAAAGGTAAAGGTACCCCTGCCCGTACGGGCCAGTCTTGCCAGACTCTAGGGTTGTGCGCTCATCTCACTCTATAGGCCGGGAGCCAGCGCTGTCCGCAGACACTTCCGGGTCACGTGGCCAGCGTGACAAAGCTGCATCTGGCGAGCCAGCGCAGCACATGAAACTCCGTTTACCTTCCCGCTGGTAAGCGGTCCCTATTTATCTACTTGCACCCGGGGGTGCTTTCGAACCTCTGTATAAAAGCAGGGGCAGAAAAATAGCTTAAAAATCAAGCACCGCCGGATAGCTGCAAGACTAAAATCCCAAGCACGTTGAGGCTGCCATCTTATACCCACTTACCGAGGAGTAAGATCCATTGAATTTTAAGGCAGATATAAGGGTAGTGTCGTTACCTTGGATTATGTCCCACTGAACTCAGCGGCCTGGGATAATTATCTACATGTCAAACTTGGGACCACTCGTCATTCGCTAAACAACACACCAAGGCGGTAACGGTAAAAACAGAACATCACTGCACAGCCTGTGCCACAAAATCACCCTTAATACTCTGTTCATACAACACAAAAGATTAGTACAAAAAAAGTGTTGGCCTGACAACTGACAGCACCAGCCGAGTTGACTATTTTGAGTTTGATACCCAGCTGCTAAATCTATTGAGTTCCAACACCCAGCTACTAATTATTTTGCTGTTTCGCAGAAGACTGACGGATAGTCACTTTGGTGTGGGTTACTAATAAGTTCAGGCACCAGCTGGGCCTGTGCTCTTGACATTTAGCAAATTAGGTTTTTTCATTACATACCCTCGAATCATTGCAAAAGATTCATCGCTAGAGAAGTAGGAAGCCCCTGGAAGCACGGTGACCGTCTCTTTGCCTGTAGAAGAAACTCGGTGTTAAGTTTGCTATGGCCAACGGGCAAAATCCCAGGGTGGTGCTGGGAATCGATGTTGTCAGTGTCACACAACAAGGCTTCACAAAGCTTCTACTCTTTTTTTCGGGGGGGGGGGGAGTGAGGAAAACAGAAAGACAAAAGCAATAAAACACAAATGACAAGAGTCCCTCCAAACTTCAAGTAGACTCTTCCAAGGGAGAATGCTTGCGAACGAAGATCCTTGCCAGCAACTCTGATAAAATTTTGTGACATTCCCTTAGACACAGATTTATATATATATGTATATGAATGCTCTGGCATGATGGCTCTTTAATTTCTCTGCAACCTTTTAAAAATATATATATATTTATATATATTTTTAAAGGTTGCAGAGAAATTAAAGAGCCAGCATGCCAGAGACATTAAAATGCTGCACAGTTGTACCTTGGATCTCAAATGCCTTGGCTACCAAACAAATCAGCTCCTGAATGATTGAAATGATGTGAGTGTTTCGGTTTTTGAATGATTTCCAGAAGCCGAACATCCAGGGTGGCTTCTGATTGGCTGCAGGAACTTCCTGCAGCCAATCATAAGCCACACTTTGGTTTCCAAACATTTTGGAAGTCTATCTGAAGCTATCTGAAGCTGTCCATGGTTCTGTTTCTCTGCTTTCCTCTCCCATCTCCCCATTAACTTCTTGAAGGAAGGGCAGTATAAATATGTGAAAGGAAGACAAAAATCGGGTTTAACCTGCATTGATGAGGTCAGGGTCAACTTCGCTTTCAGATGGGTAAGGTCCCTAGTTAAAACACAAAACAAACACTTGCATTAACTTTCCAGTCAAACGGTTGGGTTGTGTATTGATTCCCGTTGCCTGTGTCCCATTCTTACCAAGCCAAGGACTCCATTTTCACTCTGTAGATGAACAGTTATTTCTGGACTGATGAAGTTGCTGGCAAGCAGTGGGATTCCAATACCCAGGTTAGCTTAAACGGATTGGTCAAGGTTAAACAGATCCAAGTTCTTTATTCTGTACATGGATTTATTTATTTTTATTTTTGATAATTTTTTAATTAATTTTCATTAATACACATACACTCATTACACATCTATACATCCCACATATACCTTTAGCTCTGCCGAGCTTCGGACTTCCCTCCATCCCTTCGGTAAGTATCATATAGTTTTTTACCTCGCGTATTCTATTTGTTACTGTTTTGTCATGTGCTGTTATTCTAACCCTGCCAGTGTCTTTAAGTTTTTACAATTTTCTCTTATATACACCAAATATTCACTCCAACTTTCACAAAACTTCTTTTCATCCTGATCTCGTATTTTCCCCGACAATCTAGCCAGTTCTGCGTAATTCATCATTTTAACCTGCCATTCCATGTATTACATCTGTTTTCCAGTTCTGAGCCAACGCAGTTCTTGCTGCTGTCATGGCGTAAAGAAAGAGGTTTTTATCCTTCTTTTTAATTTCCTTCCCTGTCAATCCCAATAGAAAGGCTTTGGGTTTTTAAAAAAAAGTATACTTAAAAACTTTTTTAAGCTCATTGTAAATAGATCCCCAGAAAACCTTCACCACATGTGGTAGAGATCTCCCTCTGCCTCTCTACATTTCCAGCACTTCTTATTTTTCAATCTGTACATCTTTGCCAGTTTTACCGGCGTGAGATGCCATCTATATATCATTTTCCATATATTGTACATGAATTTATTTAATTCAAATGCGCCTCGAAAATAATTTTTTTAAAAAGCGACTGCATTCCACACAGCCAAAGGATACCGTACATGCCATCCTCGAATTCAAGGGCCGCTCGCCTGATGATCCTCTCTCTTACGTTATCGCTATCTTTCTTCTGCTTGCCTTTGCTATCTTCAGCTTTGCGTAGCGACAACCTCTAGAAAAGCAAGCAGAGTGAACAGGGTGATGACAGCTGCACTCTTTCGTGGAACATTAAGGACCAGCATATATTATATCACAGTTGGTAAAGGCAGACCTCAGGCACCCTGAAGCAGTAAGAAATATTTTTAAGATGGCCTGGGTTGGTTTATGCTAAACACTGGCCTGATCTGCACATAACGTAAACAAAGAGAAACGTATGCAGTAAATAAGAGAGGCGACCTGGAGGTCCTATATTTACGGTAAGCTCTCTGCTGGTGTCCCTTTGCCTGTTTGCACTCAGAGTCAAACCAGGTGGCAAATTCCGTTAACCTTTTTGTGGCAGTATTTTTGATCACAGTTGTTAAGTGTAGTTTCAGCCTTTCTGTGAGTGTCTTGAATAGTTTCATGGCTCCAGCAGCAGAGTTAGCCGATATAATCGCAGTATGGATGTCCTTTAGCTCAGCTGTTTGAAGAAGGTGAGTCAGGGCTGCGTTCAGGAGGGGGGGCATTTGATTCTTTTAGCTGCGGATATGCCAAGATTTGCATTAGGGATATATTGCAGTTTTACGATAGAATTGTTGTGGAGCGGACCTGCAAAAGCCAGAGTTAAGAGTAAGTGGTCGCTTTCAATGTTACAGCCCACTTGAAACTCCGTGACAAACATGCAAATCTTGAGATTAAGATATAATCTATGACACTACTGCCAAACTTTGTGAATTGGATTTATTTCCCAGGGCGATCCCTCTCTATATTGGTGTTTAATATTAGCAGGTCCTTCCGCTTTGCGGCCTGGGCTAAGGAAAGTCCTGGGTAGTTGCATCTAAGATCTTTAAAAAGCCGGGCAGTGCCTGTATCTAAATGGATGTCAGAGTCCAGAAACTGGTTGTAGGGGGTGTATAAGCTGTCATCATTAGCACCCATGCGTGCGTTGAAATCTCCACAAATAATGAGCAGAACAACAGGATGGATGGATTCGAGAGACTCTATATAGGACTCTAAATCTGCCCAAGTAGCCTTAATTGTATATTTTTTCTGGCAAGGAGGTATATAGATGTTGACCAGCAATAAAGAGGCTCGCCTTAGTTTGAGTAGGAATTTCCTTTTCTGTGTATACTGTAATGTTTTGCTGTTGCTATGGCCATTGGCTAATGAGAATAAAGTTTTCTCTATCTAACGTAAACCAAGCTATCGCTTATTGTGAACAAGCAAGTGTGCCAGAGCCCAGAAAGACAGCAATTGCTGTTCTGTTTCCCCTTGCACCAATGCCAACTCAGCTCACCACCTTCCTGAGTATAGACTTCCCCACAAACTTTACCCAGCAGGTCATGTAAAGAAGCTACCTTATACCGGGTCAAATGATTTGTCCCTCTGGCCCAGGGGTGGGTGGAGGCAGAGTAAAACAAAGAGAACAGGGCAACCTCGTTTTCATTCCCTTTCTCAATTTCCTCCCCATCATGCAAGGTTGCTAGAGGAGGGACATCTTGTTCTGGTCAGAATTTCACCCATTTTGGTACAGACATCCCACTCGGTTTCCGTCCAGTCTTCCACCACACACATGAAGTTAGGGCAATGGCCACAGGCTGCCCCCAGAGACTGGGGCTTGAGAAACTGACACCTTCTAGTTACAAACATGTGCCTACTTAAAGGTAAAGGGACCCCTGACCATTAGGTCCAGTCGTGACCGACTTTGGGGTTGCGGCGCTCATCTCGCTTTATAGGCCGAGGGAGCCGGCATACAGCTTCTGGGTCATGTAGCCAGCATGACTAAGCCACTTCTGGTGAACCAGAGCAGCGCACGAAAATGCTGCTAGGTTGGCAGGAGCTGAGACAGAGCAACGGGAGCTCACCCCATCACAGGGATTCGAACCGCCGACCTTCTGATCGGCAAGTCCTAGGCTCTGTGGTTTAACCCACAGCGCCACCCGTGTCCCTGTGCCTACTTAGGGGTGTACAAATTTGCCATTTTCGGTTCTCTAAGTTTCCCCTTTCCCCTCAGTCTTAAACTCAGTTCTCTAGATTTCCACAACAATTTGTGCATTAAAAAAAAATCCTCATAAAAATTTCACCAGCATTCACTGCTTATTTCTATGTTTGTGTGCAGTCCTGACTCAATACACACATTCAGGCAAAGCCATCTTCCCTAACTTACTGCATTTCTTGCACATTGTTTCTTTATTTCGCATCGCAAAATTCGGAGAAGTGCAAACTTCATAGGCTAGCGGCATTTCCATTTGCCTATCCGTTCAAGAAATGCAAATTAGCTTCTCATTAGAATGCCAACAAGATCAAACACCTCTTCCATTCCATAGCACCAGCCACTCACTTACATGATGAATTATACTCTACCTTTTAGGGAAACTTTCCAAGTTATAGAAAAACACTGAGCTATATGGACCCTCCCCAAACCAACTGCTGTGAACACAGCCTTTGGGTGAGTGAACGACACACTTGCCTGGTCCTTCCTCGGGTTATGCCTGAGCAACAGAAGCCCATTTCACCAAGGCAGCACTGCTAAGGGAAAGTCTCTTCCAGCTTCTGCTGCAAAACCAAAGTGCTGCTCCAGGTTGCCATCTGCTGTTACCGTTTCGTACAGCATGCCAACTCCTTCCTAACCCAAGGAAGGGCTGACATTAAAAAAACACACATTATCAATGGTGGATCTGGGCAGGTAAGACACCACCACTGGTACTCCCCATTATCCAAACCCACATGTGCAAGAAGCCTTTTCCAGAGTGAAACTGAAGCAGACTTGCCAAAAGAGCAGAAGAAACTATTTATGTACGCTACAACAGCGGCTAGGATATTACTAGCCCAAAAATGGAAAGACGACAAGATACCAATGAAAGAAGAATGGCAAGAAAAACTGATGGAATATGCTGAAATGGTGAAGCTAACTGGAAAACTTAAGAGACAAGGACAATAGAGATTTCAAAAAAGACCGGGAACCGTTTATGTTGTATTTACAGAAACATTGTAAAGAAGTGGACTCGCTAGCAGGGTTTGAGTAAACACAATTAAGAAAACAAACACAGAAGCTAAGATGTAATAATTGGAAAATAATGAAGTGTAAGATGTAATGTGAAAAGAATTATGGTATAAAAATGATAAGGATATAATAACATTTAATTTAAAGATTACAATATTAAGGTAGAATAAAGTAAGCAGAAGAAGCATATATTTAAAGAAACAGAAGCAGGACAAGAAAAAGTGACAACGGTCTCCATGGATGCTGTGACACAAGCCTTACTTAAGATAAACCAATCCCTGGAGACTCTAACAAAACAGACTTCAGAAAATACACAAAAACTAACAGAAATATCAGCAAGATTAGATCAGAACACAGAATCTATAAATAAATTGGTCGAGGAAAATTCTACTACACGTAAAATTGCAGAGGAAGCTAGAGCTATTGCTGGAGAGACTCAAGAGAATTTAGAACCGATTGCTAAAAAGGTGTGTGAACATGATGCAACTCTGGCTCTGTGGGAATTACAGAGAAAAGAGAGGAATTTGAAATTGAGACTAATTCCAGAGAACGAAGGTGACAACCTCGTGGAGTTTTTAACACAAGAGTTCGCTGACTGTTGGGAAGATCTGGAGGAAGACGAATTTAAAATCACAACAGCGTTTAGACTGGGTAAAAAACAGAACAGAAAGACTCCGAGAGATTGTTTGATTACACTTAGATCCAAGGAAGAAAGAGACAAAATACTAAGACTACATTTTGAAAAGGCCTTGCAAATTGGAAATACAGCTGTACAGATTTTTAAAGACATTCCTAAATACTTCCTTGATCTGAGAGCTTTATACAAGGATTTGGTCTATCTGCTAAAGAAGAACACTATACTTTTCAGGTGGGAATTTCCACAGGGATTGTCCTTTGACTACAAGGACAAGAAGGTGAAAATAAAGACTATACAAGATAAAGAGAAATTTTTGGAAAGAAATCGAGAGGACTTACAGAAGGGAACTGTGGACCCACTTGCGGAACAGAGGAGAGCAATAGACATTCTGAATCTTTCATTTGGACACAAACCACCACCATCAGAGGAAGAGCAACAACTTGGAGCTGTTGGAGGAGTGTCAGAAAAATAACAAGATGGCCCTGCAATTCCTTAGTTGGAATTGTAATGGCCTCAACATGCCTTTGAGGAGACGACAAGTTTTTCATATTCTGAACAGAGAACAACTGGACTTGATATGCCTACAAGAGACCCATATAACCAGAGCTCACAGGAGATTACTTATAAATAAAAGACTAGGACAAGAATTTATCTCATCAGACAAAGTCAAAAAAAGAGGAGTTGTGATCTATGTAAAAGAGAAGTGGGCCCCAAAAATGATGTTTAAAGATGAACAAGGAAGATACTTGGCAGTTGAGATACAAGTACAAGGACAAAAAATTTTGATAGTTGGAATTTATGCACCAAATGAAGGTAAAGCAGAATTTTTCAAGAAACTCCATGAAACTCTGACGGACTATTTGGATTACAATATGATAATTATGGGAGACATGAATGGTGTGGTTTCTACTAATATGGACAAGGCACAAAGACTGACAGTTACCAAGGAAGGGAGACTCCCTAAGTCTTTCTTTGAAATGACGGAAAATATGGACTTAATAGATATATGGAGAACAAGGAACCCTCTTGAGAGAGAGGGAACCTTTTTCTCCCAAGCAATGATGACCTGGACCAGAATCGACCAAATCTGGATTACTAGTGGGATGGCTCCAAAGATCAAGAAGGTAGAAATCTGCCCAAAAACCTGCTCCGACCATAACGCCGTGAAGATGGAAATGAAACTTACAACAACTGGCCAATTTAGATGGAGGATGAATGACACCCTCTTTCGAGATAAGGAGATCCTTATGAAGGCCCAAAAAACTTTAAAGGACTATTTTGAAATAAATCTAAGGGCCGATGTGGAAAAAAGAGTGATTTGGGATGCAAGTAAAGCTGTGATGCGGGGTTTTTTGATCCAACAAAACTCAATAAAGAAGAGGAAACAGAATGA